AAAGGCCTCAGCACTGAAGGATGTTCAAAAGCTTCAAACAATGACCAAATTTCACTCCTGAAATAACTTTGGTCAACATATCTGCATGGTTGTCATTCGTGTGGATCTTCTCTAATATGACGTCTCCATCATCCAAAACATCACGTACAAAGTGGAATCTGACGTCGATGTTCTTCGTGCGCGCATGATAAATCTGGTTCTTCGCCTAATAGATAGCTGACATGCAATTACAATATACCTGAATAGTCTCCTGAGCGATCCCCAAGTCCTCCAATAATCCACGCAGCCATAAAGCCTCCTTAATAGCTTCAGTTATTGTCATATACTCTGCCTCTGTAGTAGAGAGAGCCACTATGGACTGAAGCGTGCATCGCCAACATACAGGTGCACCTACCAATGTAAAAGCATAACCTGAAGTAAACCAGCGTTTGTCAAGATCTCCAGCATAATCTGAATCCACATATTCAATACAATCCTGCCCATTCTTCTCATCCTTCTGGAATACTAAACCAATATTCACGGTGCCTTGAACATACCGTAGAATTCACTTCACAGCCTCCCAATGACCCTTCCCGGGGTCGTGTATGTATCTCGATACCATGCTCACGGCCTGTGATAAATCTGGCCTCGTACACACCATCGCATACATCAAGTTACCTACTGCACTAGCATATCGGACCTTCGACATATACTCTTTGTCCTCAACTAAAATAGGTGACATCAACGCTGAAAGCTTGAAGTGGAGAGATAATGGTGTGCTAACTGCTTTTGCATTGCCGTCAAAGCTGAATTTCTTCAACATCTTCTGCAAGTAGCTCTTCTGTGTAAGTTTCAAACTCCTTTTCACACTGTCTCTCTCGATCTCCATACCCAATATCTTCTTTGCCCCTCCAAGATCCTTCATCTCAAACTCGGATGACAGCTCATCTTTCAACTTTCGAATAGCCGAAGAATTCCTGGAAGCAATAAGCATATCGTCAACATATAAAAGCAAATATATGTGCTCACCATCATGTAGCTTGTGCATATAAACACATGGGTCATATGAGCTCCTTGTGTACCCTCGACCGATCATAAAACCGTCGAATCTCTTATACCATTATCTTGGTGACTGCTTCAAACCATAAAGAGACTTCTTCAGCTTACAAACTAAATCTTCCTTTCCTACTGCTTTGAATCCCAGGGGTTGTGTCATGTAGATCTCCTTATCTAAATCACCGTGTAGAAAAGTTGTCTTCACATTCATCTGGACCAAATCCAAATCCAACTGTGCCACCAACGACAATAAAATCCGTATCGACGAATGCTTCACAACAGGTGAAAATACCTCGTTGTAATCAATGCCCTCAAGCTGTGCATATCCCTTGGTAACCAATATGGCTTTGAACCGTATGTCCCCAATAGAAGATCCCTCCTTCTTCGCATATACCCACTTACAACCAATAGCTTTCTTACCCTTAGGTAGATGTGCAAGTGTCCAAGTATCGTTCTTCTGAAGAGACTGCATCTCCTCCTCCATAGCTTCCCTCCACCTGATTGAATCGGGGCTAACTCTGCCTCCCTGAATGTGGCTGGAACCATATCATCAACGACCTCCACTGATAATGCATATGCGACCATGACATCATTATACCTAGCTGGCCGACGAATCTCTCTCATCGGTCTATTTGTTGCAATGGACCCCTGAACATGACCCTTTTCCCGAGTCCCATAATCCACTGTATCCTCTATCTGCCCGGCTGTCATCTCATCTCCTCCCAGTGTCACCTCTGTAGGAGCCTCAATGGATACAGTGCTCTCTGGAGTGAGTGGAGTCATATCATTCTCCACCTACTGCGATATCTCTCCTGTCTGGTCTCCCTCTACATGCTGAGGGGCTCAAGGCCTCATCATGTATGCCTCGTCAAATGTGACATCTCTGCTAATAACTATCTTCTTGTCCTGTGGATCCCATAACTTAAAGCTTTTGACTCCATCTCTAAATCCCACAAAGACTGCTTTCCTCGCTCTCGGATTTAATTTACCATCACTGACATGATAATAAGCTGGACACCCGAATATTCGAAGCGACTCATAGTCACTAGCCACCGAACCAAACCAACGCTCCAAAGGAGTCTTCTCATCTATCGTAGTGCATGGCAACCTGTTCACGAGATGGCTCGCATAAACTAACGCCTCGGTCCAAAAGGATCTAGACAATCCATTCTGTGTCATCATACACCGTACCTTCTCTAGCAAGGTACGGTTCAATCTCTCAGCCACCCTGTTCTGTTGCGGTGTCTCTCGAACTGTGAAGTGTCTTCTAATGCTGTGATTCCGGCAAAACTGCAGAAACGGATCACTCTTATACTCTCCACTGTTATCTAAACGTAGAGTCTTCATCTTTCTACCTGTCTGCAGCTCCACTTTCTTCTTTCACTCCACAAAAATATCCAGGACCTGATGTTTATGCTTCATAGGGTACCCAATTCCTCCTGGAATAGTCATCAATAAAAGTGACAAAATAGTTGGCCCCACCAAGAGATGTGTTCTTGGAAGGACCTCAAACATCTGTGTGAATGTAATCCAATGTACCTCGGGTGTTATGAACAACGGTGCCAAACTTCACTCTAGTCTTCTTCCCAAGTACACAGTGCTCACACAGCTCCATCTTGCAGGTCTTAGTACCTTTCAATAGCCCTTGTTTTACCAATGACTGTAGGGACTTATCACCTGTGTGTCCAAGTCTCATGTGCCATAAGGTGGTAGTGTCCTCCTCTGTAGTGATAGAAGCTGCCAAACCCCCTGTAACTGTCTTGCCCTTCAAGTAGTATAGGTTGTTTTCCTTGACACCTCGCATCACTACCATAGAACCCTTCGTGACCTTCACTGTAGCATCCTCTAAGATCACTCGATATCCAGCTGCCTCCAAAGTCTCAAGAGAAATGATGTTCTTCGTCAACTGCGATACGAACCTCACTTCCTTCAACTCCCTCACTACATCATCATGTATCCTAATCCGGACTGAACCAATACCACCAATAGGACATACGTGGTCATTACTCATAAGCACGACATCCCCTCTTTCCAGCTCCTCAAAGCTAGAGAACCACTCCCTCTTAGGGCAGATGTGATATGTAGCTCCTGAATCCATTATCCACTCCGTGGAATTCGCATAACAAACCGACGGTAATGCAGGACATGAATAGCCTGAAGAATCTGAATCTGAATGCTCACCAATAGCTTTTGCAACATTCACTTCTGAAGCTTGTGCAGCTTTCCCATTATTCTTCCCGGCTTTTTCTTTCCACTTTGGGCAGTCAATCTTCCAATGTCCTTCTTCTTTACAATACCGACATTGATTTCTACCAACACTCTTATATGCACTCCTATTCTTTGACTTTGAGCGGTTGAACTGGCGACGGTTTGGATCTCGGCCTCGAACTGCTAATGCATCTCCCGATGCCTTCTCGGAGGGTTCACCATCACTCTTTCTCAACTCATAGTTCACCAAAACTGAGGTCACCTCCTTGTAGCTGACTGTAGTTCTTCCATTGATCATAGTGAGAACGAACGTACCATAATCATCTTCGGGCAACGAACACAGAAGTAGCATCGCCTTGTCTTCATCCTCAACTATAATGTCCACATTGGCCATATCTGAAAGTAGTTTAGTGAAGTTGTTGACATGCTCCCTGATGGAAACTCCCCTCTTTATCTTGAACTGGTAAAATCTCTTCTTCAAGTGAAGCCGATTCTCAATGCTCTTCGTAAGATATTTCTCATTGAGTGTTTCCCACATCTTCTTCGCTGACGTCTCATTCATAACATCATAAATAAGATCCGGCGTCAAGCATGACCTAATAACACCACAAGCTCTACTGTTCATCTTCCTCCAAACCTTATCCTTCATATCTGCGGGTTTCTCTTTTAACTCAAGAGTCTCCTCTAAATTCTGTGCATCCAAGGCATCCATCACCTGACACCTTCACAATCCGAAATTGATCTTGCCGGCGAACTTCGGAACATTAATCATTGTGTTATTGATGCTCAGACTCTGTATCGCCTTTGTAAGAGACGAATCTGATGTGCTTACTTCTCCCATGTTGTCGATCTAGCTCTGATACCAATTGTTGTGTGCGGCGGAAGCTTTCTTGTGCAACACGAACAATAACACGAGATAAATCACAACTAATATGCAAAACACAACCACAACAAGAACAAACGATTTACATGGTTCGGCAAGTTGCCTACGTCCACGGGGCAAAGAGGGGGGGGAGTTCTTACTATTAGAAATCAGAGAATACAAGTAGAGTTACAAATTTCACCGATGAAACCCTAAAACAAAGCTCTAGATCTCTCACAACTCTTCCACAATTGGATGCAACAATCCTCTCTCAAAGGCTGCTCAAAATCGTCCTTACTTAACCCTAACAAATCAGATTTAGGGTTATATATCAACTCAGAAATGAACCGGATCAAAAACCAAAAGGCCCAGCCCAAAACAGATCGCGGTCGACCACGGCAATCGACCGCGCAGTTCGCGGTCGACCACGTCGGTCGACCGAACCACAAATCCGAGACTAAAATCGAGTACAATTATGGATGCCTACGGGCATCTTCCATACTATTGTCTGACGTCTGAGAACCAAACAAACAATTAAAGATTCATAATTCACCGTCCAAAGATTTTTTTTTTTTTTTTTTTTTTTTGATTTTTTTCAAGCTCAAAAAGATATTGTTCTCTTTATCTTTCTCCGGGGTCAACGACTAATTTCCTAACTCGGGTCACATTTTGCCCTGTTATTAACATCGTATTTTGTGCGCACTTCATGTGGTTCTCATGTCTAGTGTTTTTTTCAATGACAGTGAAAGTGCTTACCAAAGAATTGACACAAATTCGGCTTGATGCGTGTGATCAGCGAGCCTCAAGAGGATTATAAAAGGCCCTCTAAGTCGGTCTTCAAGCATAAAGCACAAACTAGAGAAG